GTAGTGAGATGAGCAATATCGTCATTGATAATTTTGAGTTCAGCATTCAAATGGACACTAGTAGGATCACCTTCTAAAAGAGATAAACACAAATTTTGTCTTTCATGAAGACTTTTTAAAGAAGCTTCTATACTAGTTGAGGAAGACCATTCTTTAGGTTTGATACCAAGCTTGACCTTCATAAGCTTATGAAAAAAATCCAAGATCGAATTGCCCATAGGAGACTCCATGAAAACATTAAGGAGAATATTCTAATAATCATCTTTCATCGTACAGTAGTTTTTCAATTGGAAACGCTTCGGCTTAATGGAAGAAGATCCATTTTTAAGGACAAGAGGAGAGTGATCAGAGCAAGCGGGTTCACCAACTAAAAATAAGGAAAAAGAATATCTAGATAGCCAATTGTCATTGACAAGAACTCTATCTAATTTTATGTGTATTGGATTTTCAGTTTGTTGGTTGAACCATGAAAAAAAAGCCCCGTGGAAGGAAGATCTTTAAGCTGCATATCAAAAATGAGAGTGTTGAAGTCTCCAAGTCTACTATGATGTAGATTTGTACCACCTGCCTTTTCATTTAGAAATCTGCAGCAATTAAAATCCCCCAAGACAATCCAAAGAGTAGGGGAAGAAGGTGTATTATCCTGGATTTGCTGCCATAGGCTAGATCTCTCCTTAGCCAAGTTAGAGGCATAAATAACTGAAAGAAGGAAAGAGTCTGAATGACCATAAATAACACGGTCAGTAATCATTTGAGCTGAGGTGAATAAGGGGGTGAATTGAACTTTGCTAGTGGACCATTTGATCCAGATTATACCAGGAGAAGAAATCTCAAAATTGTTGAAACTACCTTCATTTCAAAAATCAAATGAGAAGAGAGAAATCAGGGATCAGACATGGCATTATTTTGAATTCTATTTTCCAAGAGGCATAACATATCGAGCTTATGAGCTTTAACCAATTGCTTAGAAAAGAAAACCTTACTAGGGTCATTAAACCCCCTTATGTTCCAAGAGGCAATAGAGGGAAGAATCATTGGGTTTTTGTAGAGTAAGAGGAGGGCTTTCGCATGTGCTTTGATCTTAGATTTTTTTGTTGAGAGGTGGAGGGGATTATGGTAGGAGGAATGAGTTTTCTGGGGGGTACGATGGAGTCCTGATCTGAAGTGGGCTTATAAGCTTTACTCTTGTCAACCAAAGCATCATCCAGTGTGATTGTTTCAGATTGGGAATCATTCAACACATCATATTTATTTGGAGAGATTATATCTGATGGGTCAGCCACAAAAACATTAGGGCTTACAGAAGTCACCACTACTTCGTTAGTTGGTGAAATGAGCATGGGGATGTGATTGGGAGGAGGAATGACAATGGAGGGATGGGTTATATTGGAGAAGATTTTGGGTTGGGGAGGCTGTTCTGAGGAGTTTTGAAGGGCCAATTTGGAAAGGGAATCAGAAGAATTTTTTTCCTAAGAATGATGGTTTTGGAGATCAGTCACATTCTTGCTTCTTTCTAAATTGTTAGACTGAGTAATAATAGTTGAAGCTGGCTCATCTACCAAAGACCCAATGGATGGAGGGATATTCTTTTGTAGAGGAATTTACGGGGATGGTTGTTGTGGCTGAGACGAGGAGTGAGTGTGTAGAATATTTTGAGGCAACTGTTTGTGGGGAGAAGTAATTTGGGACAGAGGCTACTGAGATTGAGGATGGGAAGTGAGATTTTTGACGCGAGGACCTGGTGCTCTGCTCCTGCTTTTAGCATTGAATTGAGTGGTTACATGTTCCATGGAGGGCCTTCTGCCTCTATTTGGGGGGTTGGAAATGCGAGCCTCAATAGCTTGGCTGGAGGGCTGGGTCGGGCAAGAGGATGGGGAATGGACAAGAGAGCCACAGTGATCACTCGGAGTAAGCCTCCATTCATATTGAATTTTCAGGTTGATGATTTCAACGTCAATAGAAATGGGGATAAAATCTAGATAAATCGTTTTGTTGTTAACTTGCACGCACACCCGCGCATAGGTGAGGCGGGTTTTTTGCGCAGTAAGAGCATCAACTACAAGAGGGATACTGATCTTACTTGCTATAAGAGATATACCTTCCGAATTCCAGCAACAAAGAGGAAGATCCATAATTTTAAATCAGATAAGAATTGAAGCAAAGTTTTCTTTCTAAGGTCGGAATCTTGGGTACCACTTTTGCAAAATAAAAGGTCTTTCCAAAATGAAACAGGCACCAACAGACCATGCCATTTCATAGTCCACGACAGAGGAGAACTTAATGAGAAAAAAAACCGCCGCTCAGATTAAATAGTTGGATATTACCTTGAAGTTTCCACGTTTTGCACAAAATTGTTAAAAGCAACTCATAAAAATACCTCATTCCAACCGAGTACCCAACCAAGACAGGATTCCATTCTTCATATGCAGCATCAGTTTTAGCTTTCGAAAAAAAAATAACTTCCGATTGGGTGTGGAGAAAAGAGATAGGAAGATCTTTGGAAGAGAAACAAGAATGATTGACAATATTCGTACAATCTAAAAGGAGAGGTGGAGGAGATGGAAGAGGAGGCAGCCGGGTGGAGAGAAAGAGGGGGAAAATCTAGAGGATTCAGTGGGGTGCCCATGAAGGGCAA